CTCTCTCTCTCTCTCTCTCCCTTACTTGTAAGTTTCCTTGGGTCTCTCAATGACCTCCATCATCTGTGCCCTCCAGGCCTCCAGCTCATCGTGTTCTGCCCGGGCCTCCACTGCCGCCAACGCCTGCTCTGGACGGATCTGGACAATACACACACACACACAACATTGGTCTCTCATTCAAATCATAGCTCATGTTTTCACCTTTTACCTGGCATAGCCTTTTATTCTTATATTCTTTTAATGCCTTAATATCGTGAAACCAGCTTCAACTACATTTTTTAAAATACAGAAGTTTTTTTTACATCTTTATAGACACAAGTTAGATCATTTTCAAGGCAGGCTTGGGCCCTGTCTGTCAGAGCCAACCTAAGCTGAAAGGTATATATCATTCCACTACATAAACTGAAAAACTCGATGAAAAATTCTGTCCCCACAGGAATTGAACTCAGGTTCAGGCCACCCCTCTACTTTACTTTAAACTTTAAGCCGTGCCTGACAAGGTGATTTCTTAGAAATAAAAAGTTCTATCTGTTCAGTACCTAGTTTCGAGAAATTAGACATCAAAATTTTTAAGTATCACAATATTTCAAGCTTTTTCAACTGCTATTCTTTCAATATCTCGATAACGACTCTGAATATTTTTACAATTTTGATAGAGCAGATAGAACATTTTCTTTCTGACCTCATGGTCTCAGTAACTCAAAACGAAGAAAAATATCAAATAGAACTTTGTAATTCTGAGGTAGTGAACAGTGGCATCTGCTCACCTGGAAAAAGTAGTTGGAGGCCAGGCCTGGCCCAGAGATCCTTCTGGCCACAAAGCCATCACTGGAAGGCACTCGGCCACGGCTCTTGATGATCACGTGAAACATGAAAGCATCCCAGATCAGACGCAGTCCACTGCGTACAACGCCAACTGAAATCAACATTGTCAGGTTAAGTTTTAAAATAAGTTTTATGGCACTTGCGGCACAATTAGGTCATATAAGTGCTGAAGATTAGAGGTGTTATAGAGTAACAATATACTAAGAAAGGAATGAGGAGAGAAAAGGACATTACATGTTTGTTTGTTTGTTTTAGTAGAGGTTTTACAGCGTTCGTAACTGCATAAAGTCATATGAGCGCCAAGGGGTGGATGTCACCAGGAATTGTTAGTAAAAATAAGAAGAAAGTGCAGAGCAGACAAATGCATAAAAAAATCCCCTGCATTGAATGATTAACACCACAGAAGCACCCTGAACGAGAATCCACAAATTCATTCACGAGAGAAAATCTTCCAACCATGGCCACAAAGAACAGGAGAAAGAAAGGCAAATAAAGAAAGCTAGAGGGATTTTGAACTTTGAGGTCGCCTCCCTTGTCGTGATAGATTCCTGAACAAGCAACCCTCCCCTCACCTCATCATCATCATCATCCGGTGCCTTGCCGACTGGCGTAGGCGATCATGGACCTCCACTTCACTCTGTCTTGCGTTGCAGCAATGGCGTCTGTTGTTCTTGCTGCTCCTAGCCATGTTGTCATCTTGTCCAGTATCTTTTCCCTCTGTCTGCCTCTCTTTCCATCAAACTTGCCTGTTGCTACAATATTCTCCAATGCTTCTTTCCGCATTGTGTGTCCGAAGAAATTTTCCTGTCGCTTTCTTATATTCGTCATAAGCTGTCTTCTATGATTTGCTTCAGCCAAGACTTCTTCATTTGTTTTTCTAGCTCTCCATGGGATATGTAGCATGCGTCTCATGAACCACAACTCTGTCGCCACAATTGTTCTTTCCAGGAGTTTATTGATTGTCCACGCTTCGCACCTGTATAATAGGATTGGCTCAATGTAACTTTTCAGTACTCTTTTTCTCGTTTCCATTGACAGATTGATGTTTGTTAGTATCTGTTTCATCTTGTGGAAGGTTGCTTTTGCTTGGCAAATGCGGCTTTTAATTTCGGTGTGACATCTACCATCAGATGATATAATGGTCCCCAAATATTTAAAATGTTGTGATTGCTTGAGGGTGGTATCATTGATTTTGATATTGCATGTTGGGGTTGGAGTTTTTCTGCTTATCACATTTGTTTCGGTTTTCTTGATGTTTAGGCTTAAGTCCATGTTGTCACTTTCTTGTACAATAACATTTTATAGATTCTGCAGGTGTTCTTCATCTTCTGCTATTAGGACTGTGTCATCTGCATATATTATATTGTTTATATTATGTCCCCCTATCGAGATACCAGGCATTTCTTCTAGTGTCTCATGATATTTTCACTATACAGCGAGAACAAGTCTGGAGAAAGTACACATCCTTGTCTGACTCCTCTTTTGATCTGTATGTATTCGCTGATGTCGTTTTCTATACTCATTGCAGCAGTTTGATCCCAGTACATGTTCTTGATAATCTTTAAGTCCTTCCCGTCGATATTGAGGACTTCCAGCATGTCGATGATCTTGTCGTGCCTAACTATGTCGAATGCCTTGGTGTAGTCTATAAAACAAATGAATATCTTTCTGAACTTCTAGGGCATGTTCTATTGTTGTCCTGATGACATATATGGCATTTACAGTGCCTTTGCCTTCAATAAATCCAAGCTGTTCTTGGGATATTTCTGGGAGAATTTTATTTCGTATTCTCATCATAATTATTCAGAGCAGTATTTTTGTTATGTGGCTCATGAGGCTGATGGTACGATGCGTTTCACATTTGTTTGCATTAGGTTTCGCACCCTCACCTCACCCTCTTCTAAAGAATCCTCACAGACTGACCTTAACCCTTTCGCTCTGGTTTTCACCTGAGCTCAATACCCAGGACACAAGTGTTAATGGATACACTCACGCCAGAGTGTCATGGACACACGATCTTGATCTAGCCCACTCGTGTAACATTTTGGACCTCGAGTCTTCAGTCATGTGACTTTTTTCACTTCTCTCATTCCCTATTTCCTTCCCATCTTATTCATAATTTCAAATAACTTGCAAATCTAAGACAAAAATTGAATTTTTTTTTTTTTAAAAAGTTATTTTGGCGTCTGCCTTTTGTGAGAGCACACGGCCCCCCAGCAAGCCTAGATCTGTGTTCCTAGATCCCTTGCAAGCCTAGCAGTAAAGTCCTATTAGCAAATTCGGTACCTCCATGCATGTCTTTTATTCCCAAATACGAATCCATGCAGTGCTTGTAGCTAAAGCAGGGAAGAAGCAAGACTGATCAACGGGGACAACAGACAGAAAGGAAAGAAATAGGAACTATCAGTGGCGCCCTTCAACCAGTCATCTCAGCGGAGGATGAGGAGGAGAAGGAGGAGAAGGAGGAGAAGGAGGAGAAGGAGGAGAAGGAGGAGGAGGAAGAGGAGGAGAAGCAATATAATTTTGGCATATGGTACATACACAGACAGACAGCCAAAGATGCTACGGGGCAAGCCACCACACCGACCAGCAACGCTGAGAGAGGCTGCACACAGCCCTGTAGCAGAAGGTTCCAGATGACAGCCTCAAACAGGATGAACCAACGGTTCTTCTCGGGCCCTGATCATACAAACAAACACAGAGAAATATGTCAGTGGGGAATAAAACAGTACTACTCACACTTTTTTTCTTAAGTCTTTGACTGTAATTATTTATTTCACTAAGAGTTTTACAGCACTTTCAACACAATCAGTCTTTTTTAGTTTAGTATGGGGTTTTACGGCACTCGCAACTGCATAAGGTCATATAAGAGCGCGAAACACAAGTTAGTTTTTTTTATATGTAGTTCACTGCACGGCTGTGTACGGGTTATTTGATCTCAAACGTTAAAATATTAAAAATTTGGTGTAGATATATAATTTCAGACTAAAACAACTTTCATAAAAAATTTTAATATTCAATT